TGTTATGAGAAGGCCCTTGAGCCGTTCACCGAGAGACGCGGTAAAGACTGGGAGGTCCTGATGAACGCTCACCAGTGCAGGGGTTGAGAAAATATCGTAGTACTTTCTTCATCAAATTTAATGCATTATGGCTCGGACATCATGTACGTGTGCACTTTTAACCCTTGTTTCTCCATCGTTTGGAGCCGCTGGACATCCTCTTTATGCTCGTTCCCAGGTGCTATCACGCCGGTGAGTGTGACGTCCTTGATCTGAACCACATCGCGCTCGCCGTCAAGTGTTCGCCAACGTGACTCAATCATAGCCGCGAACTCGCCATCCGCCCAGTCGAGTACGCCCTGGCTTCTGAAGTGAAGCCCGGTTGCGTTGGGGAGCAGAACATCTTGGCCCATCGAGTCAGCGTTGAGCATGCCGATGATCTTCCCAGTAGCGCATATGCGCCCGTCCGGTACCTCGTTGAGGTATTGCACGCCAATCTCCAGGGTCTGGAGTGTACCTCCGAGGACGCTGAGAATGCCGATAAGCTCGTCCTCCGATATGTTCGTTCCTGGCAGCGAGAGAGACCGCAACGGACATTTGGACCGCAGAAGGAAGGGCACGAACGACGTCAATGGCCACCACCGACCGACGATTTCGAGCTTGTCAAGTGCTGGGAGCGTGAGCGACTCGAGGATATCTTCTCGGCCGTGTCCAAATTTGGAGCGATCCAAAGCGAGTGCAGTTTCGGGAGAGTGTATGGCTCCCGCGAGCTGGGGGGCGGGCGCTCGTGGCCCGGACGAAAGTATATCCTGCACGTCTCCAAATTACCGCACCGACGCAAGATGTCGGTGCAGTGTGAGGGGAGCACGTTCCGGGCGATGTCCAAGTGCACTAGCTGGGGCCAGAGCGCGCTGATGTCGGGCAAAATTGTAGTCCCGCCGACCATCTCACGATGTGTCAAAGAGCGCAGCGCCGGTAGAGCGGCCTTGTATAGAGGTAAGGACCACTGTATGTGAGCATTGTCCCATAATCCGGAGTTTATCTCCTCTAAGTTGTCCAAACTATTAGTCGGTAATGCAAGGAGGCCTTCCTCCACTCCACCGGCTAGGAAAAGCTGGAGGATCTTCCACCGGTGGCTCTGCGCGTAGTATATCTTCAAAAATTCATTCGCGACTACGGTGTCCAAGGTGCCGATGGAGATGCCCAGGTAGAGCGGTACATTGCCTGAGCGTCCAAGCCACGCCCGTACGCCATCCAGAGCGTTTTGGCCGGCCTCGCCTTCGTACTGGATGTGATACGATAAGGAGGACCACAGGACCGGCGTCTCGAACGCGATCGTCCTCCAGCGCTTTGAGACCAAAGTCAAGACAAGTGGGGTCTCCGCGGTCGATGGCGGACTCCGAGGTTCATGTGCATATTTCCACAACAGTGTGCGCGTGAAGACTTCGGCCAAGAGTTCTGGTGGGAGGCTATCCAGGACCATGGTGGAGGTCGAAGTGAACGGGCGGAGTGGCAGTGCCATCTTACGCCGAGATATTGATCCGTTTTGATCGCGCACGGACGAAGCCGTCGAAGCGACTCTCTCTGCTTTCTTCCTCCATCTTGCTCCCCTCGAGTGTTATTGTGTTTTTGATTCCAAGAAATCTGTCACAGTTTTTTGCCCTCCGTTTGCATCGCTGCTCTCTTCAGACTTTGGACCCCGTTTTCCAACTTCGTTTCGCCAGCGACTCGAGAAAAACATCGAAAGATCGTATTCAAGTCGCCGCTGCTCTGTGAATTACCGCTTCAAGAATCGTGCTCATATGCTACTTTCAAGTCATATGTGCTATCTCTCGTTCTCAGGCCAAATCAATCTCACGGTTACTCGTTCGCTGCACGCAGTACCAGCGTCTTCAATTAGGCATGAGCGGGATAGAGCGGGTCAACCGCGACGTTTACTGTTCAGTCACTCGGTAAATCCGAGTTGGTCTCCAGGATCTGATGAACTCAGCTTACGGAAGAATTTGCGCAGGCGTTTAGCGCGGCGCAGTTGGCTGTGCATATGCAGTATATATAGCGCCTTTAGCTTCAATCGACGTCCCGCGTTCAGTCCCGCGCCTTCCTTCGACTTCCCCGCCTACGAATCATGGCTTCGACATCTCCCGCCCTCGGGGCTGAACTTGTTACCCTCGTTAACAAGCTCCAAGACGCGTTCGCGATTGTGGGCTCCAGCGCGGCGCAGATTGATCTTCCGCAGATCTGTGTGCTCGGAAGCCAGAGTAGTGGAAAGAGCAGTGTTCTCGAGGTGAGCTTGTCAGGGATCAATTAAATACACTCGCTTGAATCACTTCCTAGAATCTCGTCGGACGAGATTTTTTGCCCCGTGGCCACGGGATTGTAACTCGAAGACCACTTGTGAGTCCCGCGTGTGTATCTGTCTTGAGCGAACCTCTGACGAGTCCAACAGGTTTTGCAGCTGGTACACAGGCCTGCGTCGGGGCCATCGGCAGGTAATTCCTTCTCCGAATATGATACGGGCCGCTTTAACACGCGCTATCAGGTAATCCAATCGACGATAAATCAGAAAACCAAGACGAGTGGGGTGAATTCCTCCACCTCCCTGGCCAGAAATTCTTTGACTTCCACCTCATTCGGGGCGAAATCGTACGCGAAACCGAGGCCAAAACCGGGCGCAACGGAGGGATCTCGCCCCTCCCCATAAATCTCCGAATATACTCGCCCCGCGTCCTGACACTCACGTTGGTCGATCTTCCGGGTCTCACCAAGGTTCCTGTTGGTGACCAGCCGCGCGATATCGAGAAGCAGATCCGCGACATGCTAATGAAATATATTGCGCGCCCGGCGTGCATTATCCTCGCTGTGACGCCGGCGAACCAGGACCTTGCCAACTCCGATGGGTTGAAGATGGCAAGGGAGGTGGATCCGGAGGGGCTGCGAACTATCGGAGTCTTGACCAAGGTTGACCTCATGTATAACTGGATTATCTTTGGCATCGAACTATGCTGATATGTTCATACAGGGACGCCGGCACCGACGTCGTGAGCATTCTGGGCGGACGAGTGATTCCGCTTCGACTCGGCTACGTGCCAGTGGTCAACCGCGGCCAGCGCGACGTCGAAACCAGTCGAGCGATCAGCTACGCCCTAGAGAAGGAGCGCGAGTTCTTTGAGAACCATCCGGCGTACCAGGCAAACGCGCGGTTCTGCGGAACTCCATTCCTGGCGCAGAAACTCAACAACGTACGCTGTAATTTTCACATTGAAATCCTTATTAACCCAATTCTCCAGACGCTTAAGAGCCATATTCGCAACACGCTACCAAGCATCAAGGCCAGTATCAGCAGCGAGCGGCAGAGACTTTCGGCAGAGCTCCAAACGCTCGGCGGTCCCCTCGTTGACGGCTCTTCCGCGAATGTGCTCTTGACGGTGATATCCGACTTCACAACTGAATTCCGCACCATCATCGACGGAAGCAACGCGAGCGCTTTGTCTCTGGATCAACTCTCGGGCGGCGCCAGAATTGCGTATGTCTTTCACGAACTGTACAACACGGGCATTAAGAATATCGATCCCCTGGACCACATCAAGGATGCGGACATCCGCACGATCCAGTATGGGACATCCGTGAGTGGCCTGCTCTGGTACGAAATTCGGGGCTCAATGGAGGTAGGGCACGACGCCGGGGCTGTTTGTGAACACGGCCACCTTTGAAATCCTTGTTAGGAGCCAGATCAAACGGCTGGAGGAGCCAAGCCTCAAGTGTTGTCAAATCGTGTACGACGAGCTCCTTAGGGTGGTTGAACAGATCTCAACAAAGATGGCGTGTCATTCAGTCGACTTAGATATTGTGTTGAATGCTCACTCGGAATCTGCTAGGTCTCGTTCAAGAGGTATCCGGCACTGCGCGAGCGATTTAATTCCGTGGTTATCAGCTTTCTCAAGAACTCGATGGAGCCGACGAAGAAGCTTGTCTCCGATTTGGTTGCGTGAGTTGCTCTTGGTGGCTGATTCCTTTTGTTTAATCGTCGACAGTATGCAGGTGTGCTACTTGAACACAACGCATCCTGATTTCATTGGTGGCAACGAGGCCGGTGGTTATTTCGTCCATCTTCCTGCTCTCTGAAGGATCGTGACAGGCCGCACACATTGTAAACGAGCAGTACAACGCCGCACAACCTGCGACACCTCCAGATCGCACCTCCGGAAGACAGGCGCAGATCAACAACGAACGCGACTTGGACGTGGAACCAAAGAAGGAGGAGTCCCGATTCTTCACCTCGTTCTTCCCGGCTAGGAGTAAAGGTGCGACTTCAAAGACAACTGGAGGCGCGCGCGCATCCACCCCAACGATGGAGGCTGCCCCTCCGATATTACGCCCCGTGTCCGCATTCAGCGAACGGGAAACCAAGGACATCGATATCATCAGTGCGTGCTTCCCGGCTTGCACCGTGACGGGGCACTCATTTGTGTCCTTCGGTACAGAGCTACTAATCCGGTCCTACTTCAACATCGTGAAACGCGAAATGATCGATACGGTCCCGAAGGCGATTTCCCTGACTCTCGTCGCGCACGCCACAAAGAACCTGCAACAGGAGCTATTGCGTGAATTGTACATTGAGCCCAAGGCAATTGATGGGCTGCTCAAGGAGAGCGACGGTGTTGTGGCACGGCGGAGAGAAGTCACCGTCATGGTGGAAGCACTGAATAATGCCGAGGAGTATGTGCTCCTTCTTTTCTGCCGATCTTTGCGGCCTAACTTGCAGTACAGGATTGTCAGCGGCATCTGACCAACATCTTTCTTACATTATTTCCCTTGGCTTTGTATCCTGTGCCAACAGTCATGCGTTCATTTCATCTTGATTTTACCGTTTCCGTGATTCTGTATCACAGGAAGGACGAACATGCGCATCGGTACGAAGAGGACCTCTTGTGAACTCGAGCCTTGTTAGGTACAATAGGAACACTACCGAAACAATCCAGCGAACCTCAAAAAAGTAACAAAAGGTTCGACGAGAGGCAGGACTCAGACACGGGGATTCGAACCTCGGGCTGCTTCTTATGCGTCGGAATTCCGGATGCATGATTAGAAGCGGTGTTGCCAACCTACACCATATCTGAGTTCTTTTTATACTTTCTGGGTGGAGTAAGTGTGTCTGTGATTATTGACGCTGGGCGAACTGGTTCACGTTGAACGTATCACCACTGTATCAATTTTGGGGGGAACAATGGCCCGCTCCCATTCACCTTTAACTGGTCCAGTAGAACCACCCCCGAAAGACACAGCGAACGTCAAAGAAAAAAGACGGAAAGAAGTCTCCATTCAGACACAAGGATTCGAACCCCGGGCTGCTTCCTATGCTTCGGAGACTGATCCTGGATGCATGATCAGAAGCGGTGTTACCAACCTACACCATTGACATGTCTGAGTTCCTTGCATACTTTACGGGCGAGCTAAGTGTGTCTGTAATTATTGTCGCTGTTCGAACTGGTTCAAGTTGAACGCATCACCACCGTATCAATTTTCGGGCGAACAAAGATGGCGCGCTCCCATTCACCTTTAACTAGTCCAGTAGAACCACCCCCGAAAGACACAGCGAACATCAAAGAAAAAAGAGGGAAAAGAAGTATTCGAAGTCTCCATTCAGACACGGGGATTCGGATTCGAACCCCAGACTTGCTTAAGCTTCTTAACTTCGAATTCTGGTACAGAGGACAAGCTTAGAGAAACGGTGGTGCCAAGCTACACTATGTCTGAGTTCCCTGGATACTTTATGGGCGAGCCAAGTGTGTCTGGAATTGTCTTGTTCTCCTTGTTCGATTTGGTTCAAGTTGAAATTTCGTATCAGCGTATCAATTTTCCGGGGAACATGCAAAGATGGCGCACCTTGGATCCTACTGGTACTCCTGAGCTTACCCGTTAGGTCCAGTAGAAACGCCCCCGAAAGACACGCCAACCATGACAAAAAGAAATAAAGAACCGACGAGGACGAGGGATGATTATTCAGACACAGGGATTCGAACCCCGCACTGCTTCTTCGAGCGTACTACGCGACAACGCATAATTAGAAGCGGTGTTGCCAGCCTACACCATGTCTGAGTTCCCTGCATACTTCGTGGGCTAGCTAAGTGTGTCTGCAATTATTGTCGCTGTCCGAATTGCCAGGTTCATGTTGAAGGCATGCAAGTCGCCATACCAATTACCAGTGTTACCACAAGGGAATAAATAAAGAGATACGATGCGATGCGGAGCAAGGATCTCTCGCGAACGTTAACTGAATCAAGGTCCAGTAGGAACAACCTTTTGAACGAGTTCCAAAGAAGAAAAAGATCGAGGCCATCGGTTCCCATTCAGACACAGGGATTCGAACCCCAGACTGCTTCTTCAAGTGCAAAACCATACATCCTAGAACTCGAAGCGGTGTTACCAAGCTACACCATGTCTGACCTTCCTTCCTCTCTTCAGCCCTACTAGGTTACAGGTACGCCTGTTAAGTTCGCGCTGCGCTGCCATTTTTCTCCGGACCGTACAATTTTCAGATGTTGAAACCGAAATCAAAATTAAACGAGTGTGATTATAGCGTCGGCTAAAGCTATGTATGAGAGTTCCAAGAAAGAGCGACGTTCAAGAAACGTATCGTATCTGTACATATATAAACGAAACAATAATAAAAAATCGGTACGTATGATGGTATGTAGACTAATGTGCTCTTCCTCTCCTCCTCTCGAATATGTGCGCGCTTGGTACTAAGTAACATAATGGTATCCCTACACACAACTAATCATGCTTGAACCCGCCCGTCGGTAACCCGACAATGGCGACGCGCTCGGCGGCGAGGAGGTCCGAGAGGCCGATGTAGTACGCAATGAAGGCGGTGATGATGCCGAAGGCGCCGCCGGCGGTCGTTACGCTGGGAGAGGCGTAAGCATTGAGGCATTGCGGAAGAATATAAGACAAAGGAGAAGAGGGGACTTTTCAACACCGCAGTGCGGGACAAGACGACGGTTGAATCGACGTCAAGGAAAGCACCACGTCGAAAAAAAAGAGTAGGAGAGGAACCAAATACACACCTAGGCACCCCGTTGAAGTTCCCCACGCCGAGCAACAAGAACGTGATAGATAGGAACCCAAAGAGCGCGATGAACGCGATGGACTTGCGCAGGGAGGCGATGCTGTGGCGTCAAAAAATTAGTATGCGAACGTTATAAAAAAGGAATCAAGTCGAGAGGGATGCGAGGGATACGAAAAGGGTGAAAAGAAGGCGCGGAAACGGAGGAAAGGAAAATGAGTCAGCGCAACAACACCGCTACGCGAGACACCCAGCGCGTCAATCACCACGCCACGCCACACGCCATGCGCCACGTTGATCAGGCGCCCACCGCGCCGACATCGCGTGACCCTCGTCAGGCACGCGATCCCGCACAAAAACAAAAGGGTATGCGGTCGAAAAAGGGAAAGCGCGCCGTGGAGATGCGGAAAAAATGAATTGAAGGAGAAGTAGCGGGATGACGCGACCTCGCCTCGGCCTCGGCCTCGGGCGAGACCAAAGTGAATAGAAACGCATCAGACTCCAAGGCCCGGCGCGTCCGGGTAGTCGGTCAAGTGGGACGAAGGTGGGGAAAGATGGGGAAAACGCGGGGAGGTGGGGAAAAGAGAGTGCCACCGCCAAGTCTCGCCAAGGTAAGCGCTAAGCGGTGGGGAAGATGTGGCGGAAGAGAACAGCGCGAATGATAGCGTGGCGCGCTAAACGAATGCGAATGGGGAGGAGGTGGAGGTAGACGCGCCGCCGATAAGCAGCGCCAGCGCGAGTGCGCTGACCAAGGACGCGCTCGCGGTCCATGGGAGGCGGAGGCGGGGATGGGGATGCGGGTAAAAAGCCGAGGTGACGTAAGATGAAAGATGGATCGCAAACAAACGAAGCGAAGACCGGACGAAAAAAAAAAAGAACCCGATAGAGCGCGCGCGAGACGGAAAGGGATGGATGTCAAGGAATAGAATAGGTGGGTGACGCAAAGGCGATGGAAACGATGTGAAAAAGGACGCACAGGAGGAGTACGGTAACGATGAACCACGCAAAGAGGAATATGCCGATCGCAGAGTGGAATTCGTCTTCCGAGGCGTACGCAGTGCCGATGCCGGTGCCAGGGATGAGGATGGATGCGTAGGAGAGCCAGAACGCGCCATAGGATGTGAACGCTGGCGGCCCATCCGATCAGTCAAAAACATCTGCACCACAACGCACATGATGCGTACCAGTCGCGCCAAAGGCGTTGCCGCGCGGGAACTCCCACATGCCCGCGAGGAGCTGGGCGAGGCCGCCGGTGAAGAGGGCCATGCCGACGACAACGTTGGGGGTGTGGATGCCGCGCACGGAGACGTTGTAGAAGCTGAGTATGAAGGTCGTGGACGCGAAGGAGAAGAGGCCCAGCGCGGCGGGATTGCCGATGGTGGTGGGGTGGGTCGCGCCGAGGAGACGGCTGCCCACGCCCCCGTCCTGTACAGTGCCTTTCTCGATGTCGCTCATTTTTGCAGGGGCTGGCTGGGAGAGAGGTATGTAGTGGTGGGGGAGGACAAGGGGCGGTCGGGTTTGTTTGGCTTACGGACCCGTTAATAAGCCCCAGCTGACATGTTCCATACATCCCCATGAAGAACCCAAAACACTTTGTGATCGCCTACCCGCCTCCGTCTCCTCCCACTTCGCTCCCTCCTCGCATCAGGCACATTTCTCCTTTCAATCCTCCTGCCACTCCTCCTCTTCCCCCGCCTTTTATCGTTCTCGTTCTTGCAGGAGAACGACCACAAAATGAATTACAATTCCCCCACATACGATCGATATGTGGGGCATGGGGCATCACGGAGGTAATAAAAATGAAATTCCGTCACCTTTCATGCAAATTTCATGACCGAAATCAAATGCCCGAGTTGGCTCCGAGCAGGCGCGCGTTAACTATCGTACCATCCGCTCCGACCGCCTCCATAACCTTTCTTGCCCGGCACACCAAGACACCCGCCATCCGCTACTTACCATTCCCCGCCACTTTAATTTTTCAAACCCGCGCCTGTCGCACCAGGCCATGGACGATAAATGGACACGTAACCCGGCCGCCAGCTGCGGACCTGAAACGGACTAGCAGCTCAGGTACATCAGCGGAGAAGCGGTAAAAAACATCATATCACTATCATCTGCGCAACTTCATGGGTCTAAGCGAGGATCCCGAAGGAGACGTCCAAGCCCCGGTTTAACCGGTTGCTTATGTTTTTTTTTTTTTTTCGGGGTTCATTTCCGGGCTGTCAAGCAAATTCGCAAGTCTCATCTCCTAAATGGAATACAGGCGCGTTAAATTCGACTCGATGAAGCGATTTACTATTAACGGATAAGGGTACTGTCCAACGTCTTCAATTGTTCAGCACGATCGTGTTCTGCGGAACAGAACACAAAAATTGAATCTCCCACTCCACAATGTGTGTCCCAACTTCAAAGAACTGTTTTTGACGTCGCTTTGTGGACAGGTCGATCACCGCGCCGTGTACACTCATTCAAAAACGATTCTATTGAGTTGACCCTGCCGCCCGCGACGTGGCCAACCCCGACGACGTGATGGCGCTGTTCCGTTCGAATTCTTGAATGCAGGTTCGATTTTCGTGGAAACCGAATACCGTACACTGACCGAAAATAATATACTTACCGCCCACCGCAACACAAAGAGGAAGCGGACATGGTGTACGGTACACGGCCTCCCGCCCTTAGAAGAGGCAACCTGTGAAGAGGCAGTTCGGGGTTCGATTCCCCGTGTCCGCCTGAAGGACTGAAATTCTTTTTCGAACCTGGACCTAACAAATTATTGATTCATCCAAAGGACTCGGACATCAGACGCACCTCAAGTTCACGAATTATCATCGTGTACCGAGACATTTTCCATTTTCAACCAAGCTTATACAGAAACGCACGAACTTATTCGACGCTACAGCAGGTCAGGGAACTCGGACATGGTGTACGGTACACGGCCACTCGATTTACATCTTGAAGAGGACAGTGCAGCGGCAGTTCGGGGTTCGACTCCCCGTGTCCGAGTGGCGCTCTTGTGCAATACTTTTCCAACCCTGTGCAGAAACTTGCTAATGCATTCAATGCTACAGCAGGTAGAAGAACACGGACATGGTGTACGGTACACGGCCTCTTACTTTTCTAAAGAACCTTGCGCTTCCAGAGGCAGCCCGGGGTTCGACTCCCCGTGTCCTAATGGGACTTCTTGGTATGAAGCTTTTTCAACCGCGCGCAGAAACGCGCGAACTTATGCAACAATCCAGGGTACAGGAACTCGGACATGGTGTACGGTGCACGGCCTCTTGCTTTCAAATGGTACTACCTGGAACGCTTGCAGAGGCAGTTCGGGGTTCGACTCCCCGTGTCCGAATAGGACATATGACCGTCGCAATTTTTTTTTACAACCCAGCCCACAGAAACCCGCTAACTTAGCCATCAATCCAAGGGGTACAGGAACTCGGACAAGGTGTACGGTACACGGCCTCTGGCTTTAATTTGTAGCTGCAAAGGCATCAAGAGGCAGCTCGGGGTTCGACTCCCCGCGTTTGAATTAATCCTCCCTCCAGCCAAGCTTTTTCAACCGTGCGCAGAAATTTGCTAACCTATCCGACAATCCAAAGGATACAGGAGCTCGGACATGGTGTACGATACACGGCCTCTTGCTTTAATTTGTAGCTGCAAAGGCATCAAGAGGCAGTTCGGGGTCCGACTCCCCATGTCCAAATAGCGCTTTTCAGGTCAATTTTTTTCAACCCTGTGCAGACACGTGCTGAACTATTCAATGCTACAGCAGGTAGAGGAACTCGGATATGGTGTACGGTACACGGCCTCTCGATTTGAAATGAAAGCCAGCGATTCCGGAGGCAGCCCGGGGTTCGACTCCCCGTGTCCGAATGGGGTCATGGTATACACGAATCTTTTTCAACCCAGTGCAGAAACACCCTGACTTATCCAACAATCCAAGGGGTACAGGAACTCGGACGTGGTGTACGGTACACAGCCTCTTGCTTTAGAAAGGTACGAAACGCTTGCCGAGGCAGTTCGGGGTTCGATTTCCTGTGTCCGAATGGCACTCCTTGGTACGAAGCTTTTTCAACCGTGCGCAGAAACGGGCGAGCTTATTAAGAACTTCAGGAGGTCAGGGAACTCGGACATGGTGTGCGGTACACGGCCTCTTGCATTGGACATCCTTTTCGAGCGCTTACCCAGGCAGCTCGGGGTTCGACTCCTTGTGTCCAAATGCGGCGTGACCGAAAGTTTTTGAACCGTGTGCGGAAATGCGCTAACCTGTCCAACAATCCAGGAGGGAGAAGCAATCGGACATGGTGTACGGTAGACGGACTCTCTTTCTGAGACGGAACCGCTTGTAGAGGCAGCCCGGGGTTCGATTCCCAGTGTCCGGATCTGAACATTTGAAGGAAACTTTTTCAACGACGTGCAGGAACGCGGCAAATCTCCCAGCACTGCAGGAGGTACAGCAAGTCGGGCATGGTGTACGGTACACGGTCTCTTTCTCCGGCACTTACAGAGGCAACCCGGGGTTCGACTCCCTATGTCCAAATTGCTCAGAGGATACGATTATTTTTTCAACCCAGTTTACAGAAGCCCGCTGATTCAATTAGAAGTCAACCATAGTGTGAGTATACATGCTTCGAGAGGAAACATAGCGCTTTCAGAGGTAGCCCGTGGTTCCAGTGGGTGCGGTAAGTCGACGAATATTTTGCGTTCCTGTGCAGTGCAGAAACAGACTAACTGATGCGATACGGCAGAGAGTAGAAGATCTACTGTCTATCTTGAATTCCGTGCAGTCCAGGTCCCCGCATATAACGGCTGATTCTTGTTAATGACTTGTCAACCTGTACGCGACAAATTAGTAAATTAATAACGCATCCAACTTTGTGGGAGGGATTAAGTGATGGAATGTGGCAGAGGCGCAAGAGGTGACCGAAAACTTGCGGTCCATTATGGGACAGTGGGTCACCGACCTTCTGACGGCAAACAACAGCATCGATAGGGGCATCATCCCGATGCGGAAGGACTGTTTGGTTGGTTAGGCACTGCCACATCTCACAGCTCCCCTTCGAACGCTGAGGTACCGTGGCGCGATATCTGGAGCTCATACCTAGGATGGACCTCACAGAGCAGACCTCCACCATGCCTAGCCTTCCCCCAGAACTCTTCTCCGCAATCTTCGTGCGCGCAATGCGCTGGGAAGTTGCGCAAGCGCCATCGATCAAGCAGAGCCCACTTGTTCTGACTTTGGTCTCGAAGCGCTGGCGGACGATCGCGCTCGAGACGCCAGTCCTTTGGTCCTCCCTCTCATATTCCGTTTGGCACAAAGGCGAGGCCGCTCAAAACGGTCTGGATGGCGTGCGGGCATGGCTTAGTCGCTCAGGCAATGTACCGCTCTGCCTGGGCATCTCCATCACCACCTCTGACCTCGAAGTCGCGAATGGCTTCTTGGACATATACTACGCGCAGAGGCACCGGTGGAAAAAAATCCATCTTTTCCTCGCTGGTGGGCTGGGGGAAGGCCTCCTTCCATTCCCGTCCAACGGTTTCGACAAGCTGGAGGAGATAAACTCCAGATTGTGGCACGATGCTCACATGAAGTGGTGCCTGCCTCTCTACAAAGCCGCCCTGCCTGCGCTCCGTTGTCTGAAACATCGTGAGCTGGCCAGCAGGACTACGATTTTGCCCGATATCAGCGCGCACTGGCCCCAGCTAGCGCACCTGGACATCGTCCGTAACACTTTCCCCTCACACAGCACCGACGTGTTGCGCCAATGCGCCAATCTAGAGACGTGCAGGATATACTTTCGTCCAGGCCATGACCGCCCGTCGCCCAGTTCGCGGGAGCCATACACTCTCCCGAAACTGCACTCGCTGTGGATCCGCTCCAAAATTGGAACCGGGCAAGAGAATATCTTCGCGTCGATCACACTCCCAGCACTCCGCGAACTCGAAATGGTCGGTCGGTGGTGGCCATTGGCGTCGTTCGTGCCCTTCCTTCTGCGGTCCAGGTGTCCACTGAGGTCTCTCTCGCTACTGGGAACGAATATTTCGGAGGACGACCTTGTCGTTATTCTTGGCGTGGTTGGAGGCACACTCGAGTCCCTGGAGATTGGCGTGCAACACCTCAACGAGGTCGCGGACGGGTGCATATGCGCTACTGGGAAAATTATCGGCATGCTCAACGCCGACTCGATGGGCAGGGATGTTTTGCTACCCAACGCAACTGGGCTTCACTTCAAAAGTCAGGGCGTACTCGACTGGGCGGATGGCGAGTTCGCGGCGATGATTGAATCACGTTGGCGAACACTTGACGGGGAGCGCGATATAGTTCAGATCAAGAACGTCACACTCACCGGCGTGATAGCACCTGGGAACGAGCATAAAGAAGATGTCCAGCGGCTCCAAACGATGGAGAAACAAGGCCTTAAATTATACGCTCGTATCTCCGAATCTTAGGTATAACAGCTTCATATATGAACGAATAATATTTATTCCAACTTATGAGCGGACTTTCCGACAGGCAAAATCGAGAGGCAAAATCACAGCCTAGCGCCTTTGAACACTTTCATCTCTTCGGGGGACACTGCTCGGTTCTCCCGCTTCCATATATCCTCTTCCTCGGTATCTGGCAGCGGCGGAGCCATGCCGTTTTCATTCCACATGGTGCGCTATCATTGCCGGTGCAAGTGAGCAGTCAAAGATAGCACAAATATATGAATCGCACATCCACGTCGTTAATCTGCACTTCCCAGTCTATACCGCGTCCTTTGGTGAAGGGCTCGAGGGCCTTCTCATACCGGTCCATGAACCCGCGCTTCCACTCGCTATTTGTTGCAGTCAGCGTTGCCTCTGAAGTGTGGTTGAAAGGATGAACTGACATAGAGAAGTGTCGTGCATAGTGTCTCTGTCGCGATCCGCCGAAATCTATCGGTGCTCTTTCCGCCAACAAAGAAGCTTTGGGCATCGAGCTCGACAAAGACCACGACGACGTAGAACTTGAGGATCACCACATAGACGCTTGTAACTGCGGCAGCGATGGCAGCCTTGTCTTCGTCAGAGTACAGTCCCTTGGGCGTGAAGAAGCGGTGAAGAGGCATGCTGAAGATGGTTAGGTTGAGGTTAGCGAGCCCACATTCATCCGTATTTATGTTTTCCCAATCTCCCGGGCTGTGTTCGGGCAGTAACAATCTAATAGGCAGCCCGAGGGCGGAGTTGGCCTATGAGTCAAATGACGTGAACTTCAACTCCGTCCGACTTGGGCTTTTATCGAGACCCAAATTGAAACCACCTCAAGATTTCCGCCCGAAGATACGATGAACCATTCCGTACTCTGCGATTAAGTTATCCTGGGCAGCCCTGGGCTCGAATGTAATTCAGGTCAAAGGAAAAGGTGCCTTCTACTGGTCACGATGCTCTCGTCAGCCCGAACTCCGTCCAACCGAAGATGAGTGACTTTTAGGGTATAAATCAGCGGCATTGTCTCCGTATGGCCCCAGTACTTATGTCGTAGACGATGGGATGACTTATATTTGTTTCATGGGCGCGTTAATTCAATATGGAATGGCATCGGGTTAGGGCGGACCTTCCGTCGTTACTTGCTCGACCCGTTTTTGCATTAGTCCGTGCCCACGAGGAGCCAACCAACACCTGGTTGATTCAACTCTTCGGAAAACCACTTGAATAACGGGATACATTCCAACAAGCGAGGTACGAGATTTATTGCCAGTAGGGTCGAGAGACCAGAGATACATATGCCCTTTCGGGATTTTGGCTAGAGAAATTTCTTCTCGTCTAGCGCCTTTAATACCCTCATCTCCTCAGGGGACAACGCTCGGTTCTCCCGCTTCCACATATTCTCCTCTTCTGTACCCGGCAGAGGTGGAGCCATGCCATTCTCATTCCACATCGTGCGCTATAGTTCACGACACATGTGAGCGAGTTAAAGGTATCAGGACGAATATATCGCACATCGGCGTCGTTGATCTGCACTTCCCAGTCTATACCGCGTCCTTTGGTGAACGGCTCGAGGGCCTTCTCATAACGATCCATGAACCCGCGCTTCACTTGATCACCAAACGTGGGGATCAAGGTCAGTTGAGCCACGGAGTGTCTATATACGACTGACTCGGGGAAGTTCCGCGCATAGTGCTCTGTCGCAATCCGGAGAAATTTATTTGTGCTTTTCCCACCGACAAAAAAGTTCCGGGCCTCGAGCTCGATGAAGACCACGACGACGTAGAACTTGGGGATCACCACATAGACACTTGTTACTGCCTCAGAGATGGCTGCCTTGTCCTCGTCGGAGTATAGTCCCTTGGGCGTAAAAAAGCGGTGGAGAGGCATTGCTGAAGGTGGTTAACGTAGGTTCAACTGCAACTGTTCAAGCTATTTAGGCCTTCCTCGTCTCGGGCAACATCATTCATGCAGCCCGAGGGTCGGGCATGATTATACAGAGGGGAGATGGTCCATGAGTGAGATGCCGTGATTCTAAGTTCGTCCGACTTGGGCTTTTATCGCCGGAAAGCCGTAAATTTGTCCAGAAAAAGAAACAGAAAATTAAACACATAATGGTACACAAGCTATACCATTCCGATGACCTGAGGGTCAAGAGAACATATAACCCAGACAGTGAAACATTCCCTTGAAACTTCTTCCGATCATTCTTGCTGCTCGGTACTCGGGCATGCCGGCAATGTTAAACCTTGCTTCTGAACGGTCGTGTATGTCAGCTCGGACTCTGCCCGACCAAAGATCAGTACTCAGTGCCGATCCAGTATAATACTGGCGACATCGTGTTGGTAGGGTATTCGATACATGGTACCTAATTCAGGCTCGAAATACCGCTTCTCTTCAGGTCTGGTGTCGAAGGAATATCAATA